GGCCTATCTTGCGACGGTAGAGGATGCGACAGTGTTAAGCGATCGTTTTGCTCTTCAATATAGATTTTAAAATGGTCAATATTGTATTTTTGTGTATTTTCTACTTTTTAGGCATAAACAATTTTTGCTAAAAAAAAAAATATTAAAAAAAAGCTCTTCCTACCAACCTACTCAATTATTGGATTTTTCCAAAACGTGGCCAACACAAGACTAATTTTTTTTTATTGGCCTTATTGTTGTGTGGTGGTTCAGCCGGGCACAGTCACTGCGTACAACGGTTGTCAGCTGACACGCTTCTACTCCACTACGCGCATACAAAAAAAAATTTTGATGACAATCAGTTTAGAATGCCACCGACAATCAGAGTGGAGTTGGATTCGTTGGCAAAGGTCATGCAACGCAGTGTGTGTCTGCCGTTAAGGATGCAAGTCCATCATATTTTCACACATAATGTAGCAGGTGACATTAGCAGTGGTTGATTGCTTTTGCTATTATATAAGGCTTGCCATCCCATTAGTGACCAACAAATTTAAATTTACTTTTTAATATACTTATTCACCACCTTTATAAGCTATAAAATGATTGGTCATTCATTGGAATCGACTACCATTGTGTGTAAAGGTATTATGGCTTCTTTGTACTGTACTAAATTATACAATACTGCCATATTTGTATGCTAATTTACTAAGTATAACATTTTGCAACAGTATGCCATATTTGGGATTGCAAGTCTCATATTACCACTGCTGCTACTATAAATATTTTATATAATAAATTATTATTAAGTAGTGTGTAGGTTTTGTATATTATTTACCTATTATAAAAGACCCATCTTCTAATGCTGTCTTATTGCTTCCTGAAAATAAAATCAATATTTGTGTATAATCTATTATTATTTTTTATATACAGATTGGTAAGCATGTTGAAGGTATGACTTACATCATGGACCTTGGAAAGCTAGGCCTGCATCATCTATGGAAACCTGGCATTGATTTGTTTAACCAGGTAGCATAAGTGTTATTATAATTATATTACAAACGCTGGTGATTAATTCAACTCTCAGATTCAGCTTACCTTGATTCCCTAACAATTAGCCTTTCCAAATGTGTGCCCATAATGTTCGATCAAGGAGGAAATAACTAATTTATTTCCTCCATGTTTCGATATAAATTATGATAGTGCTTATATAGTAATATGATTAATATAATAACATCAAACTTCTTTTCGTTACACAGCTGGCATATTGCGTAGAACTGATTCTTTATAGGCAGCTGGGGAATGCATTCCTAGTCTCAGGGGGTAGTTACTTATTCAAAATTAATGTAAACACAAATTGTTATTAGCATTGGACAGTTAACTAATGTGGTAATCAATGTTAATTCCAGGCCTTTCAAAGACTCAGGAACAGCTTGAATGTATAGTATTATTAAAATCCTTAAAATATCATTTTCATCAATGCTTGTGATAAACCATGAGGTGGGTTGGTAAATATATTTTTTGATAATTTAATATTAATGATAATGATACAAGATACCAAAAAAAAATTGTTTCTTCAAGAATACAATGAAATTTGCCATAAATATTTTAAAATAATAATTAGTAAAATACAGCAAAAACAATGATAAAAAATTGTTTAAAGGGTGCACATTTAAGAGATACATAAAATAAAACGGAGAAGGAATTACATTAATAAGAAATTTATAAGGAATAATATCAAATTCATTAAACCATGGAGGTTTATAAATATTTCTATACCTCCATGATTAAATATAGAAAAATAAAATATAAACTTATGTTCTGACTATATACAATATAACACATCACATTCTGTAAAATAAAAACATTAGTTTTATTTCAATTTATTGGGTTACACATAAAAAAAAAACTACAAAATTAAGACTGTAATAAATTATTGTTATTTTACTATTAATAATATAAACATTTATAGTACAGTTTAGCCATAATTCAAATTATACTAATTTTGTTTATTGGTATCTTTGTTAGTTTATTTCCATGTTTGAGCAGCATTATCCAGAAACTCTGAAATCTGTCTTCATTGTCAGAGCGCCCAAGTTCTTCCCATTGGCATATTCCCTGGTTAAACCATTCCTGCATGAATACACTCGAAAGAAAATCCACGTTCTTGGAAGTAGGTACAATAACTGTTTTTCGTCTTTATAGTTTTTTTTCCCCCTCTCCTTTTTTAAATTTTCATCAATTTCCATCATACAATAAAAATACATAATAGTAATTTAACAAAGCTTGGCAAATGAATGAATGACAAACAACAACATTAGATAAATACAAAAGTCAAGATCTAAGAATGTACTGTATATGATAAGAAGTTATTCCTTTTTTAAATGATCAACAGATGATAACTTATATTGTACATTGTATTTTTCTTTCTTTTTTAAAACATTTATAATCTTTAATTTTAACTTAAATATGATAATATATACATTGAACAAAATTCTTTCTTATATGTAACTTTATAGTTCTATGTGTCTCATCAAATAGTCTAGACTAGGTTCCAGTCACTAAATTTTGTCTTTATCAGTGAAAACTATTAAAAGTACATCTATTTTGGCGCCAATGGCGTTCCATATTACTAATTTGCATGGCTACCATACTATACTTTTTTTGTTGTTTAATACTTTTTACCACACAAATTCAACAACATAACAAAAATAGATGCTGGTGGTGCCCTTCGAAAATATATGACACTACAAATAGTCATCTTAAAAGCCCCAAAAATGGTCTGTATACTGTGACATATTCAGGGAGTGTGTGGGGGCTCATTCGCTTCCCCCACTCCCCTCCCCCATTGAAAATGTTTGACACAAAAAAGTCACATTCAAGTACTAAAAAAAAAAAAAACACCTCATAATCATCGAGCCCTGACCACTCCACCTCCGGGATACATCAACTTCCCCCGCCCCCAATTACAAAATCACCAGCCATAATACTGATTGGGAAAAAGTTGTAGAAGTAGGTTGATTGGATAATCCATATCTATCCACAAATTTAACAACTTTTTTTCTCTTCAAAATTCGCTTTTCGTTACGGAAATAGTTTGTGCTGCTATGCTCTCTGTGCTTTCGTTATGGTAAATTATAAGTCCGTCACTTGCATCCTAGAACTCAAGTTTAAGGAATACTAAATGGACTATGGTAAAATTTAGGTATTTTTCCCTTAAAAAAAAGACGATGTAGTATATGATGATTCTGAAAATTAATTGGATTTAAAACTCCATTTAGTTTTGTTGGGTTAAAATATTATTATAGTTATTTCCAGACAAAAGTTAATCATTTTAACCATGAGTAATTTTAATTGTGATGATTTTTGCCACACTTTAACAGTTTATAATGAAAGTTTATTGAAGCTCCTAGCATTGCTTAGATATTTCAGCTTCTAAACTTTTTTACTTCAAAAAATACATTATTTTTTATTTCAAATTTTAGGCTCTTGGAATAAATTAACGACTCATGCTATACATTGTGAATCTTCTGGGCAAACATTGGATATAACTAACAGAGAATGTATACATGCCAAAGGGTGCTTACAGTATGGTCATAGTGATCAGTTCCTTTAATTAACTATTGATTCAGGGAAATTGATGCCTCATTTAAAGACATAATACAAGGAACTGATCAAGCTAGAATCATGACTGATAGGGGATGGGTAATTATTACTCTCTGCAAATAAAGTGTTATCATGTTCTAATTTCTTTGAGTAAGTATTACTTTAAATTTTAGGTAATTGGAAGGAGGCGTTACTAAAACATATTGATGCAGATGTGTTGCCAGTATTCTGGGGTGGAAATGCTACAGACCCTGATGGCAATGTGAACTGTAGAAGCAAGGTAAACTCTTTGGTTTTTTTTTTGGTAGTTTCATTCATATCCAACAATCTGTAAAAATGTTGTAATATAAATATTGTATATATTCTTATAAGTCTCATTAAGGTTAAAGGAAATTATAATATATAATAATCATTATTTATTTACAAGACTCTTTAACCCAGTGGGTGTTTTTACAAAAGGTTGTGAGGTACATAAATAAAATTATATATAAAACTTATTAATCTAAACTAAAAAAAAAAAAAAAGTGATAAATTGACAAAGCCTAATTTTATATTCATAAAATTCATGTAATCGATTAATTTCTGTAAATGCTGTATTTGTATATGCAGTATCCAGATGAAGCCTGGGCTATTTTTTAATTTGCATGATTAATTAAAAAGCATATTTTACTAAATTTATAAATCTTGCAACACAGGTTCCTAGCTTTGGAAAGTGTTATGTTTACCATAAAGCTACTATTATCTCCATACCTTTGAATGATGCAGTATGTGATTGATTAATAGATCTTTTTTAGATCTACTGTCTCTACTATACTGCCCTCATGAGGCTGATTGATTAACAGTTGAATTTTTAATAGATCCTCTTTAGATCTACTGCCTCTGTTATACTGCCCTCATGAGGAGCTCTAGAAACACTTGGCTGATCGATTAATAGTTGATGATTAACTGATCTTTTTAGATCTACTACCTCTATTATACTGCCCTCATCGGAGCTTTCGAGATTATGAGAACTTGTTGTATGTCATGTGCCCACGGTTTTGCCACTGCCATCTTTTTATGTTTTATCAGAAAAAGATACAAAACCGCATACTGAACAAGAATCATACCATTATTGGATACATATTTATCTGTATAACTACGTTGCATCTAGGCCTATATGAAATGAGCTCCCCCTCATTTTAAAAATTCTGGATCTGCCCCTGCACATCTTAATTGGTAATTCATAATCACTGTTGCATGAAAAGTGTTGGAAATATATTTTGTATAATTTTTATTTTTTGTTTTCCAGATTCAGATGGGTGGTGAGGTTCCAAAATCATTTTACCTAAAAGATCGTGAACTAAGCAGCAAGAATTTGATCACCAAACAAATATCACGAGGCTCAGCGATTGAGATGAAGTACATTGTCACAAAGCCGGGAAGCGTGATAAGGTATAAGTATACTAGTATAGGAGTGTGTGAGATTAAAGGCATTACATTGTTAACGGCCTTTCCGTCTGAAGTACTATGGGCTTATTCGACTGGTTCATTTCGTCGACTATGATTTTTCGTTGAGTATAATTTTCATTCGACTGGTTCATAAAATAGACTTCGTTGACAACAAAAATTAACGTAAACCAGAGTGTGTTAATCAGCGTTAAGTTATCCACGTGACCAAAACAAACATGGCCGAATGGTCAGTTTAGCAACAACATTTGCATTAATATAACTTAGATTAAATTTCAGAAAATAAAAATTATAATATTTACCCACATGAAGTCAAAGAATAATTGTAGGATAACAGAATTCAAAAACTGGATGAAAATATTTTTTTACAAAAAACCCGTACTGCCACAAGCTGAAGAACAATTGGCGAGGCATCAATTCCAGAGCTGTTATTTTTTTTATCATAACTAAATTTTGCTGAAATTACTAAACATAAAAGAAATGTACAGAACAGGGAAATATGCACAAAAATGTCAGGTTTTTTTTAGAAATTAATATATTTTTGTAGTTATCTTGCCGTGTTCTTGCTTTCAGATATGAATTCAAAACACATGATCACGACATCGCATTCGGTATCAAGCGACTAGGTGCAGAAAACGAAAAGACTGTCATCAAGAAAACGGAACGCTACAATAGTCACATGGTACCAGAAGATGGAGAGGTCATTTTGGATGACCCTGGACAATGTGAGTCAGTTTATCATTTATTACTGGTGTTTATTCTCATGATTATGATCATAACAACGGTCATTTTTTGATGATAAACCTTCATCCCAAAATATAAATTGTTTCTAATAATAATGAGAATAGTAAAATAATGATACTTATAATATCTATAGGGTAGTGTTAAGTTCAATGTTCCAAATGAAGTACTACTTTGGTCATTTCTATTAAACTGAAGTGCAAAATCAAATTTATATGACCAAATGTGGGGGAGGGCATTGTATATTAAACCAGGAAAAGCAATTTTATTGTGGAAAAGTTTGTAAAATAATTAAACTAAAGCTAAAAACTATTCTGAATAATTTAAAATTTATATACATACAAAGAATGTAACCAGGTGGCGCCAGCGGGGGTGTGGGGCTGGGTGGGCATTTGCCGACCTGTCGGACAGGCCTGGATCCCCCTGTTGTCCGATGAACGACTAGGTCGTTGGGCCGAAAAAAATTTTTAAAAATCATAATTTGTCTATCCTAATTTAATAAACGCTATTTTGATTGCCAATCCCAAATATTGTGGTCTAAAAGCACATTTAAGACCAAACTAAGCCATAAAAACCAAGACTGTAAAATGTCAAAGCTTAATCTCACAAATGCAAAAACTATTAAAATGTATTGCTACCCATAAAGTAATTAAATTGCTCTCTGCCCAAAACTATTATTAAATCATGTTTTTAAAGCCTTTCAAAATTTACAAAAACCAAACACTTTATTTTTATATGCTATTTTGTTAATTTCAGATGTGGTCAAGTTTGATAACAGTTACAGTTGGACCAAAACCAAGACTGTTAGTTTTTGCATTGAGTTGCTTGAACCTCAAGACATTGACGAAGCTCCAGAATTTGAGGTGGACCCTGAAAAATTTGAAAATCTAAATTTGTTTGATTAAATCACTTTTTTTATTTGAAAAATAAAATGTAGTATCTGAAATCAGGGAAAATGTAATTAATAATTGATTTTGACTCCAGGATGTTTATGCCTTAAGATTTGGACCAATAAATCATTTTTTCTAATAAGAATTTTAAATAGCTATGATCTTTAATTTTAACAAGTTTGGATTAAAATGTGAAGTAATCATTGTATACATATTTTATGAATGTGTGATCATGTTTTAAATCTCTAACTTACCAAAGTATTGTGATACAAAATTCTGTAAATATGATATCATTATTAATCTACCATTAGATAATAAAAAAAAAAATTTTTTATGGAATTTTTTAAATGAAAGTAGCAATTACACTGCAACTCAGCCAATTACTGGATACGCAGCTCAGGATTTTAAGACTTGAAAAAAAAAGGATGAATGTGTAATAATAATAATAATAGGTTGATGGTGATTTGTAGAGCACCATTGTCTGTCTAAAACAGGCACTTTTATTGAGAGCATGATGCCACATTATATCTTAGGAGTATTATCAATCATTCAATTCCATAACCCCTGGTGGGGTGTGGTTGTTGAGGCACTAATGATGATGTCTTGACAATCTCCCGCCACTGGTCACGTTCATGTGCTACACTCGGGGATCTAGCAAATGACAACCCTATTCACTCTCTGATTTGTCCTCCCATCATTTCCTCTGTCTTCCGCTTCTCCTTCCTTGAACTGTGCCTTGTAAGATGGTTATTGCAAGGCCGTGTGATCTGGTTATTTGTCTGTACCACAGTTTCCTTTTATAAGTATCATAAGCAGGTATTAAATATGATAAATATTGAAAAGATTTATATTAAAGAAAAATTTATGTTGATTGTGAACTTCATTTTCGATTAAGAATATTTTTTTTTTATAATACGGTAGTTATTTTTTGTATATATTTTATATTCTGTAACCAAAAATTGAAACGAATACAAATGGTTCTATAGAAATCAACCGCCTATTTTAAAAATTGTTTATTGTTTTCGAAGTTACATGTTTATATTGGGAAGTTTGCAACATTTTGTAAATGATCAAATAGGAATATGTCAACAATTTGTTGTCGTTATTTGTTCTTTCAAAACTATGTTTACAGTAGACAATGGCTTTTTAATTGAGTGTGCACTACAGACCATAGATAAAATAGATTTTCTCTATGCATAGACAATGTTAGCGAGGCCAGAGTTCATCAGACTTATTGGCTGACGACCAGAACAAGTCAAGGCAATTTGCTGCAAACCCACTTCCTAGGATGTTAAACACAAAATGGGTGATTTACCTGGTAAACAAAATTGAAGTAAAATGTTTAAATAACACTTCGAATGCACTATCCTAACTGCATCAAATTTTAGCATAATATAAAAATCTTTTTTTTTTTTGTTATCCTTAAGAGTATAGTGTCCCTCAACTTTACAGTATTTTGCAACCCAATTTTGGGTCACAACCCATAGTTTGAGGAACCGCTGAGATAGGCCACAGGCCCTGATTTTACCATGACTTTTGAAACCTGATTCCTTATATCAAATAAATAATTTAGCCTACTTGGTGCACTTTGTTGATTTTTCATGTTTTGATATGGTTATAGCTCTGAATCTGAAGATTATGTTTGTTTTTCTATGTGCAAATATATAATTCTCGTAAAACTCACATACACTGGCATATGAATAGAGATCGCCTATAAAGTATTTGTATTTGTTTTTATAAGCTTGCTAAAGTTGCCAATTAATAGCTAGAACTTTAAAGTTGACTGAATTATTGTTAAAAAATAAAATCTGTTTATAATTATCTTTATAAATTATTTATGAAAATATTTTTTGAATTTAATCAGAAATGCAAGAGGGGTGCTAAATGCAATGATTTTTACAGATTAGATATTTGTTATATCTTGATTGTTTATAATAGGATTTATGTATCATAATGAAATCATGGATTGTGCAATTAATGAATATCACAAAGAAAAAAATTATATATTTTTAATATGTATTGCATCATAATTATTTGTGTGTGTTACAGGCCTACTAGTATATCTGTCTCTTATACACATCTAGAGGTGTATAAGAGACAGATATATATATATATTGGTAAATGCAAAAATATAGATTGTCCTTCATTATTATATTGTAATTATATTATTTTATTATCTATCAATGTTAAAATTATGATTGGGAAGGGAATAAAAACATTTTCCTTTATAAATGTTCTGTTTTAGATCATTCTAAATCCTCCCATATGTGCAGTTGGCGGTTGTTGTCAATGATGCTCACTGTACATGAGCTACTTGAAAACTGTCCACATAGAAAGTTTATGAACAAAAGGTTATCTTGGCATTGTGAGAAAGAGTTTGTTTTTAAATTTTTGCTAGCTATTAAATTGCAGTGCCGTTCCGATTTAGTCTGATTTCGTCTCGTTCTATTTTACATTATTTCAAATCCACCAATATACCTGGAGGTTTGACTTCTGAAGTTGATTTTCAGCAATGATGCTTCACTGTACTTTACTGGTAAACTGTCCACATAAGAACATTATGAAACTAGAGGGAAAGTAAAAGAATAGGTTATCTTATCATATTGGCAGGCCCGTACGGTGGTTGCTGTGGGTGGGGGCGGGGGAGGGGGTGCGCGACAGCGGAACCTACCCAAAGGTTCACATTTTCAGACTCTTAACTGTATTTTTTAAGAATTTTAATGTTTTTTCCCACTGCTTACAAAACTCATCTTCTTTCTAGATTTCACTAAAATTATCTATATTCTCGTTGAAGTCTGAGAGTGCCATTTCCGGCTATCGAGAGGTGTCATAATCATAATTTTCTTACCTCATACCCAGCCATGGTGGGGCTGAGGTGTTATCGACTCCCATCTGTGAAAGTCCTTCCCTGGCATAGTGACCAGACCTAGCATAATTATGCTTTTTGGCATAATTTAGACCCATTTAGCATCTAGCATATGTGCTGGCATAATTTTAGAAAAAAAAATTAGCATAATTTTGACCTCAGAAGAAAAAAAAAACTTTAATCTGAATTAAACCAGCCGTCAATAACCGTGGATACCACATAATAAAAATGAATTCGTTTATTGATTGAGTATCCAATAAATCATATGCTATGTGCACACTGCAGCTGCCTCTCTGTGGTTTTATATTTTGTTTTTTACCACATTGAAAATGGTTTTGACCAAGTACTCAATCCTGTCCTCGCTGGAAGCGAAATTTGCGTTCGTTTGTTCGGTCCGTCCGGGAGGCATGCGCCCGTGAGGCATGCGTCCGGGAGTAGTGTACTACCGATTACTGAGTTTTAAATTAAGACATTGATAGTCGGGCAGATACTCTACTGCTGAGACTGATCAGGGAATTGGTTATAACAACTGCAGTGGTTTCGCTTTTGCTGCTCAACTATTTATAGTCTCTGCAATATTTTGTTTTTTTGTAATGTGTTATACAGGGCCGGCGGAACCGGAGTGGCCAGGGGGCCCGCCCCACCCCACTTTGTGGCAGAAAATATATGTCGTCTATGCAGATTTTTGTATGATTGGAAAGAAATTCAATAAAAGAAAGAGAGAAGAAGGAGGAGAGGGAGGGGAAAGAGAGGTTTATGCATTCAGTATTTCTCGAAATTCACATGCGGATTTGTTTGTTTGTTTTTTGGGGTGGGGGAGGGGTCCCTTCCTCTTTGTTGTTCGTCGATTCATTTTAACACACAGGCCTACTAGTATATTTACTGTAATAAGAATGAGAAAGTTACTTGACCGTTTTCAAGAAGGGGAAAACCTTAAAATTTCAAGAATTAAAGTCATTAAAAGACAGCTCAGTAGTCGGGAAAGCTAATTTCCTAGCCATCTAGGGATCGAAATTTTCCCGGGGGAGGACCTCCGGACCCGCCTTTTGTTCAAGGCAATTCAACAGAAGGACGCACATCTCGGGACATCAAAGGTTATAACTCTGGCATCGACATTCTAGGCGCACGTGCGTCCCTGCACGCTGAACATCACAAAAACCATAGCAACCACACAATATACCTAATGTCTATGTTCTCACACGGCTGCTAACGGTTAGCAAGATCCGGATCCTGCTAACCGTTAGCTGCCGTGCGTCCATACGTGAAAATTCCGATCCGGATACCAAAAATATGATGATCGAATCACTGGCCAATAAGAAACTGGAAATTGTAAACGCGTACGTGTGATTGGTTGATGATAAAAACGCGCTCAACTTGCTAACCGATAGCGCTTGCTAACTGTTAGCAATATCCGGATACTGCTAACGGTTAGCGCTAACCGATCGGGCGTTCTCACGCAGAACGGTTAGCGCTAACGTTTAGCTCCCGATCCGGATACTAGGGCTCTCGTGAGAACCAGGCTATAACCGTCAGCGTACGTGACGAATTACCCACGCTAGTTGCCATGATAATGATTACAAAGGCCTAATGATATTTTGCACTAACATTATAGACTGAAATTATATTCTTCATTTCAACATTAATTTTACAGAAATTGTGGTGAATTGTCGTTCATGAGACTCACTTCGCAGAAAAAAATTAATAAATGTTCTGTATATACTCAAATGTTCGTTTTCGGCACCTTACGCCAACATTGTCAAAATGACAGATTAATGTTACATAAGAACATGAAATTTTATAAAATTCGTAAATTTTAAATTG